TGTGCCGGGGGGGTCCGGAGCGCGGCGGGTGTGTGCGCGGCGGGCGGGCGCGGAGGCTGGGGAGCCATATTTGTAACTTTGTGGTGCTCATGAACGCGCCCTTTCTCTCTCCTCCTCTCTCCCTGCCGATGCTGAGCGGGGGAAAGGGGAAAAGGGTTCTGGGGAGCGCTCGCGTGGCGGTGGGGGAGCGGGGAATGAAGGAAGGAAGCGGTAATAAAAACAACGATTGCGAGGAAGAGAATGCGCTCCGCACCTCTCCATCCCCGCACGCACAGAAGGGCCGGGTGCGTGTGTGTGTGCGTGTTTTCCTCTTTTTTAGCATTATTTTTAACCCCCGTCCCCGCACCTCAGGGACGCGGTTCGGCCTCTCCCCGAGCAAAGCGGCCGAGAAACTTTGTCAGGACGAAAATGGTTGGCGCCCGGGGGGTGCCCCGAGGCGGGCGGCCCCCAGCCCGAGCCCCGCTCCGAAGGTGGCGGCGGCGGCGGGTTTCGAACCCGCGGCCCCGAGCGCTGCGCCCCCCGCCTCTCGCTGCGGCCGCGGAGGTGGGGGGGGGGGGTGGGGTCCGCTGGGGGGGGGGGGGGGGGGGGGGAGCGCGGCTGAATGGAACGTACCTCTCGGGGAGGAGGGCGGAGGCGGATGGATGGATGGAAGCTGCTCTTTAAACTTTAAAAAGTCCTGGGCCGGGAGGAGGAGGGCGGCACGCGGCGCGGCCATCCCGCGGGGCTCGTTGCGTCCCCTGCGCGGGGGCACAAAGCGGGCGGATTGCCGAACCGCTCCCGGGGCCGTCTCCAGGCGCGGGCAGCGCAAGTAGGACGCGGCGCCATGTTTTTTTTTTTTCCCCTCCCGAGCTCTGAGGGAGGAGGAGGAGGAGGAGGAAGCAGGGCGGTCGGGCCCTCCCCGCCGCTCCGCGCTCCTCTCCGCGCCGGGCGGGGGTTCCCCTCAGCCGGGGCCGCCTCGGAGCCCTCGAGCCGCTCGGCGGTGGCGGTTGTTGGGGGGGAGCTGTGCGGGGGTCTGGGCGCGCCATAGCGGAGCGCGGCCCTCCCCTTCCCTCAGGGGGCGCGGCGGGGGCGGCCGGGGCGCGGAGGGGCTCCTCCATGACGGACCGCCGCCGTCTGCCATTTTGTCGCCGCTGTCGCCGGGCGGGCGGAGGTTCCTGGCGGCGAGACGCGGCGGCGGGACGAGCGGAGGGTAAAGCGCGGCCTGCTCCTCTCCCACACCCTTTCCCTTCCGGATTCACCTTTTTACAGCGCTTTTTTTTCCCCTCTGGGGAGTGTCGGGGAGGGGTGGTGGCGGGGGATGCGCTTTGCGTAGCGCCCGGCGCGGCTTTGTTGTTTTTATTGTTACCGTTGTTATCTTGGAAGTATTTTTTGTCTTTTCTTTGGTTTTGTGGGTTTTTTTTTTTCGCGTTTATTTGTTTTAGTTTTTGCCTCTCTACCGCTTGTGCTGCTGGAGGCTCAGATTCAGCGTTCTGTGTGGACTCAGCCTTGATCCCAAGCATACTGGGTGCAAGCTGGGCTCTCCCCATCACCATATCTGGTTCAGGTCCTGCTCTGACTTAACGGAAGTTCACAGAGCCCACGTTGAGTGCTGGTTCAGTGCCCTGAGAGCCCCAGTTTGGTGCTGGTTCAGTGCCCTGAGAGCCCCGCTTTGGTGCTGGTTCATTGCATAGAGAACCCCAACTCGCCGCTGTGTTGTTCCCCTTCCGCAGCTCAGCAATCTGCGCTGTTGTGAAATAATGCCTGTTTAACCTGACACGTCTTTTTTTTTTTTTTTTTTTTTTTTTTTTTTTTTTTAAACCTCTTAACCTTTAATTCTATCGCCGTGTTCCTCTTCCCGAGGTAACAAATGGGATCACGATCCGTCCTATAGGCAAACAGTTGCGCCTGCATACAAAGGGGAGCTGCCCTTTGGGAGTGCTGCTCTGTTTACAGTCACTCCTGCAGAATCACTGATCACAGATGCTTCCACGTGCTCTTGTGCTGTGGGGAGCTAAGGGTGCAGTTTGAACTCCGTTTCTCTAAAGTCCCTGTTAGAAGAAAATGCAGCTAAATCCAGCCAGTACTCCAGAGAAGATGTTTGAAGCTGAGTTTTAGTGTAAATATAATGCCAGGTGTCATTGATTCATGGATTTTAGTAAGATGTGGGGCATGAACAAGATGGTTCTGGACGTTGTGTTAATCTCTGCTCTGATAGGCAGGCGGTGTTTCTTGCATGATCCGTGATGGATCATTGTTTTCAAAGCTTTAAATGTAGCGTAGATAAATCTTGGTGGGAACAAGGGCACACATGGAAGCGTGTTCACTTTTTCTTGGAGCCGTTACTGTGTGTGTGCTGAAGTTTGCAGTGCCTCTCACATTTGATTTATTCTGTTCTCAGAGCTTGCAGAATCGAAACGTTCTGTAAATCAAGCTTTGATAAGGGAATGTTGATAAGGTGTTTGAGCTCAGAAAGCCCCTGTTACTGTTTTGTGCTTTGGGCTAATACAGTTGTGTCAAATACTATGTTATACTGTACAGCTAGCTACTTCAGTTGCTCAGTTACATAACCCTGCAAGGTTACATGTTAGCCAATAAAAGGTGATATAAATGTCTCAAAGTGGATTCTATAGTAGCTATTTCTTCCTCAGACTGCTGCTGTTTTACATGAAATCAGCGTTGGTGAGCAGTCTGGGGTTACAGTGCCTGAAATTCGGTGGGTGTTGTGTTTGTGTGTGTTGGTGGGAAATCCGTTTGTGGTGCCTGAAACTTGTTTTTCCTTGTCGTATGGCTAGAGCTGAGCTCTCACATCTGCCTTGCAGGTATTTCCACTTTTTTTTTTAACCCATTTTGTTAACGGTTGCTCAGGGCAGTGCACATGCTGTGGCCTTTGACACTTTGCTGATCTTATCATTACCATCTTCTATTATGTTACATAAAAGTGCCTACTAGAAATTGGTGAGATCCAGCCATTTTATGTGGGTTTTCTTCAGGCCATCAGCCCGTAGTGGTGTAACTTGTGACAGCACGGGCAGCTGGGTGCCTTGGTGGGTGCTGTTGCTCATTCCTATTGTCTGTAACCCAGCTCAGCTGTTCACACGGGCTGTGCAAGGAGGTCGGTGTGAAGGGGGATTTCTCAGCCAGGCACAGAGGCAGCGTTTAGAAGTTATGCACAAAACTCATCTTTGGTGGCTTAGTGCTACCCACACCAGTTCACTTAGTCTGAGGATTTAGTGCTGCTTTTGAGAGCTTTATCAGCACAGATTTATGACAGTCATAAAGCACTGCCTGCAACATTGGGTATTTGTTACAGTTTTTCTAACTTTCTCTTTCACTTTAAAACTTATTTGAATTGTGATTTCCCTCTAGCTTACTGTAGGTTTTAACATTGAAGGGAATTACAGTGTGAGTGTCTATGGGAAGCATTCTCTTGTATGAGGAATAGAAATAAGAGAGCTCTCTTCTCTAGTTATTTGGTGTGATACTCACAATAACATCACTTCAAAGACCTGCATTTGAAAAAGTTCTGGTATTGGAATTTGGTAAATGGGTCAGGATACACACGTTTACTCATCCCCTGCTGAATAGCATACAAATGGAGCAGGGATGTGCTGTAGGTTAGCAGCAGTGGGACAAGCTGGTTGCACTGTAGCATGCAGTGCTGTGCGACCAGCATGTAGAAACTCTGCTGAACGTACAGCTTAGCATGGATTTTTGCAGACTTGAATCACTTAACCACTTATGTAGCTGACAGCAGGGTGTAAATGTAACAAAGAAGTAGCTGGGGGTTTTTTGCCAGCTTCCTGGGTTTGTATAATAGCTGCTTTTCAAGGCTCTGAATTTTCAGATGCAAACCTCTGAAGCCTGGGTGGACGGACAGGTGTTCGTCTTGGAGGAGCTGCAGCCCACAGACATCAGGCTTGCAGGATGGGTGTGATGAGTGTGAGCTGTCCTCACTGAAATGTAGGCTACCCTCTCAGCTGATGACCGGCAAATCCTCTTAACCTGGACCAAGTTTAAGCATGTGAGAGGAACTATGAATATAAAATTAAAAATTAAAATTAAGAACAACAACAACAAAGCAACCACCTGATGGTTTGTAAACCTGATGGGAAGTTTCTTAGCATCAATCTCCTG